CTCGTGAGAGTTCTCAAAAACTTCCACCGCGCCAAAGAAACAGTTGCAAATTACATCGGTTACCAGCGCATCCACTGCTAAAGCCTTGATGATTCTGACCATACTTAGCCATTGTCAAAACTTTGCCACTTCCGCCTTTTAGCACAAGACGCAAAACTTTGCCACTTCCGCCTTTTAGCACTATTCCGGGCGACACTATAGTGAGCACAGGCGACAAAAATCAGCCAGCCGGAAGAAGTGATCTATAATTAGGTGACAGCTTGTGTCCGTTTGAACTCAAGGTGCCTACTGCATGTAGGTTTCCTGGCGTTTAGCTTCATTCAGCGTAGGTGCAGTCACATAATAAAAGAACCAATGATACCTATGGCGGAGGAAGACCTCTTTGGGTTTTTTGCCCAGTATCCGAATTGCTCCTAGTAAAAGGTGCTGAAGGTAAAACGTTACCATGAAAAGAGTTTGATAACCCTTTGTGACTGAGTAACAAAGCTTACTGCCAGGAACCCACCCAGGGTCTGCATTTGACAAATGCACCGACAAACATTGAACTAAGTCCACTCCTACTACTCGTGCAATCCTGATGTGGATTAATTTGTAAGTGAAGTAAAATGATGAATGGATGCTACATAGTCCCACCGACGCCGTGCAAGTAGCGGCTGAATTTACATCCCATTAATCTCGTTTGAAAGGAATGTTAGTGGAGCAAGTGAGACGAAAGTAACGGTGCATTACGAGACCCCAAACGTAGTCTGTGGATACGTATTTTTGTCCACGGTGAACTGGTCGGGGCATGCTGGAGATCCCGAAAGAGCAACAGGTTTGTCCCAACACCCACAATGCCCACAGTGATCCCATGAGACTCTACCAATGGATGACATCGGATGTGCTCCTACAGTCAAGGCTGAATCTAGCAGGTGACATCAGATCGGTCCTCCAACCAAATAATACACAAAGATCTTCCAACCCAAATTTTCCATGACCGGAGTTTGTCTTTCCACTTAGGTATCTTATTTGAGGATGGTAAAACTGACCGGAGCAAGTGAATCGGCTTTCCTTAAACAAGCCGAAACTCTTCGGTTCCACAGCGATTGATGCCTAAATATTTATTTCGGGCTCTAGAAGCGAGTCTCCAGCATGCTGAGGATGCTGGAGATGCTAATCGTCCTCCACAGTAGTTGTACAACCTATTGTTTGAGATTTGAATTTCCCCACGTTTCTTCCCTCCCTATATGCAATCCTCGCTTCACTTTTGTGTTTACTGCATGTGAATGAACTGGCGTTTGTTTGTCTCTACCATTTCACTCATTTCGCCTTGAGGTCATCCAGACATTTTGTGGCCGACATTATACACGTGTGACTGCCTCACGTGGGAGCCTGTTTGCTCATTTGGTTCGTACGTTTTCAGTCCAAGTGGACCATTTGTGGTGGACGAGTATTCAATGTCGAGGTTCATATATTTTGTGAATTACTGTCTTACGTTGATAGTACCGTGTAGAAACCCAGCTCCGACTTTGTTTTGCCTTCCCTAAGGTTCTGGTATTACGCATCACCCGAAGATACCGTTTGGCGGTTACGGTAATCTATTTCAAGTTAATTGCCGAATATCAGGTCAGTTTTACAAGCTTTTCTCCACTTTGACATTTTTGTATCTCATCCGGCACGCATGACTGTGGACTCCAGTCTTCTGGTGCGCGAACTTAAATGACCAGGTTTTCGGCAAGTTGACTGAACTTTCACTTATCACTCCGCTGAGATTTGTACAAACCCTTAAGTGGCCGGGTGAGTTAGCGATCAGTGATAGTGGAAAACGACTTAGGGTAACTGACTAGCGTTTTATTGTTAGAAAAATTTCATGGGAAGTGATTAGTCAACTTCTGAAATCTTAATAAGATCAAAGGGTTCACAGTCACCTTACGAGGTTGCAAACAAGGGAACCTCCACATTAAAATCTAATCTAAACATGAATTTATTTTTCATATTAGCGGTTATGATCAGTTTAGGCCGGCTTATGTAGAATATAGGTGGATCAACAATGAATGGAGAATATCGGTAGCATGTTTTAGGGAAAAATGTCTATTGTCTGCACAACTACAATCAGAGTATTCGTTCATCTGGAACACCAATCTGAATCTTCCGACTTAGTTTCGTTTTTTTGTTGTAGCAAATTTGGATTACTCGACGGATTTCAGGAACACGATGCATTTTACAAAGCACTTTTACTTTTTGTCCTTTTCAGATTCCTGCAAAGTCATATGCATTCATTGTCTAGCCTTCAGAAGTAGGCTCACAACCCACAAATATTGACGGCCACCCGCAATAGATGATAAGGTAGTTATGTGTTTCGAGATGACTCTTTCTACGTAAGTAACATTGAACACCCAATTACAATGTTAGGTTTGCAAGGCCAGAAACTAAGTTCAGCAACTAAGAACACTAGTGGACAAAAACAGTAGTTTGCCCTTTAAGTAGTCATTGGTATTAGAATGCACAACAAGGAGTACTTTGGGCGACATCACCAAAAAGAGTTACGGATGGGTTATGACCTATTTGCGTTCAAGTCAAACATTACAAGCGGTATCCGATATATCGGCAAACATTGCCCCAAACTGGAAGTTAGGATTGCCAATAGACCAAACAGCCACTGTTTGCCGGTTGCACTCGTTTTGGTAGTCAGAAATATTCAAGCAGTCTGGAAGTACAAAAGGAGAGGGCGTCATGTAGATGGCTATTGGGCAAGTGAGCATGAATCATTTATTATGAACTGTTCAGTGCTTCGAGACCAGCACAAAATCTTGCCATGGAATTGTTTCCCAAATCAAGGAAGGTTACTGTTTGCCTAGGTACGTTTTGGCGTGTAGTTACCGAACATATTATATGCTATTCAACGGAAAACTTAGCTAACTTTAAGGAATCGTTGGAAGATATTTGGGAAGTTAGACATGATGATTAGACAATAATGGTTTCTCGTGACGGTAGAGATTTGTTAAATCATTTCAACCTGCCTAAGTTGTACATGACGTTCGAACACTGCTCAGAATGTTCTGATAGCAGTTAATGAACATAGCAAGTTCATTAATAAACGAGCGGGCTGGAAAAAGGCGCGTGCGATTAGTGCGCACATTACTGTCCCACAAGCAATCGAATAAAGTTGGAGGTGGTCGAAGCAAAGAGGTTAGCTAGAGGTATCACATTATTCGCCCGTCTAAATTCGCAAGCAAGCAAAGTAGATGTTGATAAAACAAATGTGAATAAAATCACTTCAGTTGCGGCAAGAAGTTCCAAATAAAATTCCATAGTGTTTCTCATCACAATGTATGACCAAACCGTTAAATTTATTAAGTCAATCGATGCAGTAGTACAATGTATCATGGTGCAGTCGTGGTTTGAGATGGACATTCCAGAGAATCCAAATGGAAGCCAAAGCAATACCGGAAACGAAGATCTCTGATTCAAGATCATAAGCTTCACAGGGTTCTGGCGATGACATCTAACTAGTATAACGTATGTTAGGTAGGTTATTCAAGTTACGTTGATGGTGGCACGCTTTCATTGGTGACTATAATCAAACCAAATATTCAAATCATTTGGCCGATTTTTGGCAGAATGCAAGACATCTATTTAGATAAATGTGGTTTTGGTAAAACTGAGTTTCATCTTGAGCATCTAAGCAAACTCAGTCTTATATAAAGGGTAAAATGGAAAAAATGGAAAAATGTTGCAACACTGCCGACGCTCTGTACAGATTTATGACATCAAGTGTGTCCCCGAATAGGGTCATTAGGCAATACATTCCAGACACTCCAAAAATATGCTGAATCGGAAAGTTTTGTCCGTGTTCTTGTACGCGATGGTCAGAGTAACCGAAAGAATGCCGACTACCCTTACGATCGTACAGTTTAACCGTATCAACCTTGGCTTAGGAAATGTGAGTCCATGGCAAGCGACGCAAAAATTGTTGGGGAATAAACTGTAGTATCTGCAATATATTGTGAGCGATGAGACAAATAAATTGAGATATGCGCAGGAGTGTTTGATTATTGTAGGTCAGCAGTAATATATATGATGTGGAATTATGCGGAATAACAATCATTAAAACTACAAGGTGCAGTCCACTCACGCTGACTATTTTCTAGTATTTAGCATCCGCAATCATTACGAGGTCTTGTTTCACTGTCTTCATTGTTTACAACATAAGCAAACCAGCAATTCCACAAACAATAATCCTGTATGTGATTCAGTCCATCGAGTATTCATCAAATTTTTCACGCACAATCCGAGAGCAGTCTATATTCGAAAAGCACCGAGAAATCTCATTCCGGATGGAAACCCCGACTTTCCTTCTGGTAAATCAAAGAGACGCCTAATAGTTAGCTTTTCCCCTTCCATATTGTATGTCTGTTTGTGTAAAATGAACAGCTTTGGAATGATTGAAGTCAGCGTCATGTCGAACACAGCTGGACCACCGATTTTTCATTCTACGTATGCTTTGTATAAACACAGTGGCAGATGCTGGATAAAACAACTAGAGTAGTTGTCTCAATTATTTTATCATTTCTTAGTTATGCTGGTATGGAAGAAAAATTGGAAAACTTTATCTGTTGGTGCCCTTCGTCAACCAATGAGGCAAAAAATGCCAATAGCGTTATTTTTTTACGATGTTGTACACTTTTTTGTAACTTCCAGGAATCACCAGGAATAATGAATGTCGGAGAAAATCATCATTGACGCCGGATATGATGTTCTCTGGAGATATGTTCTTAGAAATTAACGCTGTGGGAATGGTTTTATATGTGCTGATCGTTAGCCACACGATGACAACAGCAAAAAGGTTCTTCACACATACACTTCAATGTGTATTTAGCTCTTGACCACATGAATAATTTATTGCCAGTTAACAATAGACACATATTGTAACAAAACGCAAATTTTATGTAGCTACCTGATGACCATGTACGACGCGCTGCCGACAGCAGTCCACCCGGGAAGCAGCAGCTGAACTGTACGAGCTGAGGGTGGAATTAGGAAACTATTTGTTCATCATCATGAACCCAACCAGTTACAGTAAGATACATGGTAATATTTTTAGTTTCTTTGCGCTCAAATAGTTTGTGGATTACACAGCACATTTATGAATTCAAAGGTTATACATTTTGCAGGTTGGTAGTACCTTTTCATGTAACAAATGAGTGAGAATTGAATAGTCTCAAGACGACGCTCATCAATTTAATATCACTGCTTTTGACTGGTCGGAGTGATAGCATACAAGTTCGGCGCGCTTTCGTTTCTGTTCCGATGACGGTCACTGGACTTCATTGTGCCTCTAAACCAGGCAATTAGGTAGGTTTTTGGGTGTTTGCCTAAATGAACCCAGAAGACAACTTAAAACTGCCTCGAGAGTATTCAGTAAGCCAATCTAAAATAACGAGGCTGCCAATGTGTCCAGTACATTGACGGGAAAAATCAGGACAGCTTTTGAACATGCGTATTTTGTGATAACATTCTAATAAGTACGCCCGAAGACGTGCCAAGACCATTCACACGAATTCACCTTTAGATTGTCAGCAACAACCCATTCCTGGGTGGATCAGGTTTGCGGCGTCAACTTCTATGTGTCCAGTACATTGACGGGAAAAATCAGGACAGCTTTTGAACATGCGTATTTTGTGATAACATCCTGATAAGTACGCCCGAAGACGTGCCAAGACCATTCACACGAATTCAACTTTAGATTGTCAGCAACAACCCATTCCTGGGTGGATAAGGTTTGCGGCGTCAACTTCTAACAGGTCCAAAAAGAGTCTCCGGATAGCGGTTAAACACGTGACCACTCATAAACTAACAAGAAGAGCTCCCCACAGACTCCATCCGGGGTGTCAAATCAATAATCTGACATAACAAAGACGTTGCTGGACTTCTAGGAAATGAATGGCACTACACAAAATATGGTAACGTCCGTAGGTTCGGAAGTGATAGTTGTGTGTTTGATAAACTAACAAGAAGAGCTCCCCACAGACTCCATCCGGGGTGTCAAATCAATAATCTGACATAACAAAGACGTTGCTGGACTTCTAGGAAATGAATGGCACTACACAAAATATGGTAACGTCCGTAGGTTCGGAAGTGATAGTTTGTGTGTTTGACATGCTTCTGTAAGATGGTAGATCTGCCTGGATTGTTTTATTTATGCCATTTTGAACCATATCCTGCTGAGGATATGAACCGGCGATGGGTTGTTGTACGGATAGAACTCGAAGTCAAATTAATTTATATTTGCCGTGCATGTTATTCAGTAATAAGTGGATGGCAGGACTGTTTTGCTTGAAGGAATGCAGTTAACAGATCATCCAAAACTTTTGAAACTACCCACTTTCTGTCCACATGCTTGTGCACGACACCACCATATTTGAGTTTTTTCTAGTGCATGACATCACCTGTTGTCCAACATCACCCGATAAATTTTACGAGTTCGATAGAAACACTCTACAGTTTGCGATGGCTTTTAGCAAAGTATTGTCATCTGGGGTGTCCACTTTTATTTCCTCATTCTTCAGACACGTGACGCTGTTTTAGACCGCTTGTTCAAAGTGTCATTCTTCCTCGGTGGATTGAATCACCGTCGATTTGCACTCCCCTGGTGTTGTTGTCATGTAACTGAGGTTGGTTGTTGAACTCTATCAGCTATGTTTAATTGAATCAGGCGCAAATTTCAAGAAAAGATACTAAACAGTCGTATCAACCGCATTGGAAATCAAATCGTCATTTTGACCTGCGTAGACCCTTGACAGTAAATTCTGTTGTTGGTTGTGTGAGGAGGTTGAGGTTTTCTGTGGAGATTTCGTCCTGTAATTGAAGCCAATGTATGCTAAAAAACCGAGAAGCAATGTAGACCTGTTTCATTCTTGTTTGGAATTATAAGCAGTGCGCATTTCATGAAAATCCGGAGAGTCTCGAACTCGCGACTTCCTGGCCAGCAGTAGAGTCTCGAACTCGCGACCTCCTGGCCAGCAGATTGAACTCGTAAACGCTCGACCACGAGTGGCTGAAAGTTAATTCCAAAGTTATGCATTTTGTAGTATCCAGAGGGAATGTTGTTCAACCAGAATTCTGTGTGAAACGTGACTGTCTTACACCTGGAAAATCCAACCTTGAATATGATGCTCCGAGGCGAGAGCAGATGCAGTGCCTGAGACAACTTACAAAACAGCAAGATGATGCAGTATGTGTGGGAAACC